CTTAGCCGCATTCGTAGCATGGATATGATTACCATTCATACAGGTGTTCATAGCAGTGTTGCTTTAAGTGTTTTTAGTTATAAGCATCATGATTGGTGTTATTATCAGTACTCGTAATATTTGCATTATTAGAAGTATGACTAGTATGTTTGGTATTGCTGCTATTAGTGCTACTACTAATCGTATTAATACTCGTCGTCGTTTTCTTCTTCCTCCTCCTCCTCCTCCTCCTTCGTCTCCTCCTCCTCCTCCTCCGCCTCCGCCTCCGCCTCCTCCTCCTCCTCCTCCTCCTCCTCCTCCTCCCTCCTCTCTCCTTCTCCCCCTCCTCATCCTGCTCCTCCTCCTCCTCCTCCTCCCCCTCCTCCTCCTCCTCCTCCTCCTCCTCCTCCTCCTCCTCCTCCTCCCAATCCATGGCTAACCTTTCTCGCTCAAGCTGGTGTCGCTGTGCCGCTCGGCTGGCCGCGGCACGAGCAGGAGCGGTGTTGGAGACCGGCACCGCGGTGGCCGCCCGTGGGGCCATCCTGGCGGCGCACGCGGCGGCGGGGCTGGCCCGCTACTCGCCAGCGGCGTTCCGCATGCTGAAGGCCGCCCAGAGCCAGCGTCGAGCGGTCGCGGTGGAGCTCGATGCTTCGCGTCACCGCGCGACCGCCGCCCGACGCAGCCTGCTGAGGCGCCCGCGGCCCCGCCTGCCGCGACCCCGGCGGACGTGCTGCCTGGCGGTGACGGCCCAGCGCCACGACGACGCCGCCGCCGAGGGCGGCGCGGTAGGCACGAGGGCTCGGCTGTGCAGCACGACGGCTTGCTGGTGTGCGACGGGGTGAGCAGCGCTGGGAGACAGACGGAGGACGACGACTGGGCTGACGACGCGCCCGTGGACCCTGTCAGCTGCCGATGTCCGCGGCCACGGCGGTCCCAGCCGCTTGCCCAGGGACAGTGCTTCGCCCCGGATCTAGTTCTGAGTGTCTGGGAGCACTAAGACAGCCGCCAACCCTGACTCCAAACCCGCTGTAATCTGGGCGATTTCGCAAGTTCAGCGGAAATGCCCGCCCTACGTTTCAAGCTCCTTTGATGCCGATGTCCGCGTACTTTGCCGACGCTGTGCCGCCATACTGTTGAGAAGAAATCCACCCTACTTATCTAAGGCGGAAATGTCCGTCCTCCTATTTCGCATTGTGTGGTTCGCATTTCTGACACTATGTCAGTCGGGCAAATCAACCAAAGTACGACGGATCCAGACCCAAGTCTGATTTCCCCAAGCTCCTCTCGTCGTAGAAGAATCGCGACGGGAGGTATTTGGCCGTATTCGGCTTCTTGGGGCCCTCACCAAGCCTCGGGACCGTCAAAGAAACACCAGGAACGAAACATTGGTCCAGGGCAAAGGGTCCTGACCTCTGGGGGTTGACGCTGTGAAACAATTGAACGTCTGAGTTCTGGGGACTCCTAGCCCCGACTCTGGATCTGGGGTATTTCGATCGATGTCGCAATTATGGCAGAACTTCCAGCTAATTCGCGCTCCTGGAGCACGAACCCAAACCAAAGAGGCTGCCCAAAAGCGCCCCCCCCCTCGCCGGCGCAGAAGAAGTCGTAAGGACCGTTCACCATTAGTCACGACATACGCTCTCAACCAGCCTCCCAGCAAGCGGCCAATATCAACTGCCAACCATCAACTTATACACCAAGCCAATCAACCGAGTTGCCAACCGACCATACGGCGAGAAACCAACCAACCTACCGACCAAGCGTGGCCATGCACAATGTGGGGGGAGGAATCGGCATACACACATGTTATGTCGATCTGTGTATATACATACATACATACTTGTGTACGTACGTACGTACGTGCGTACATACATACATACATATACACATACATACATATAAATTTGTATATATGTATACACATATGTGTGTGCGTGGGAACATTTGGGACTATTTGCTGCCGCGGCCCTTTCCATGACACAAGGCGCTCTTTCCTGCGATCCATATCTCTCTCTCTTTCTCAATCTCTCTTCTCTCTCTCTCTCTCTCTCCCTTTTTTGTGCTCTCTCTATATATGTATGTGTAAATATATATATATATATCTCTTTCTCTCTCGCTGCACTGCTAGAGGATGACATCCTTGGCTGAGTGCCCCTGGCGGTGAAGTGGGGAGGGCGATGGGGTGAGAACGGCGGAGGAGGGGGGGAAGACGGCGGACGAGGCAGAGGAGAAGGGGGAGGACGGCGGCCCTGGGCAACCTGGGAAGTCTCTTGGGGCGATTTGAAGGTTTGTTTGGGGGGCCTCTTGGGCTGCCTTGGGGCTCTCTTGGGGCCGTCTTGGAGCTCTCTTGGATATCCTGGGCCGTCCTGCGCCCCTGCGTGGGCCCCCTTGGGCCGTCTTGAGCCCCTGTGAGGGGGGGGGGCTCTTTGCGGCCCGCTTGAGCCGACTGGGGCATCTGGGGCCCGTCCTGGGGGCCGCTTGGGGGCTCTTTTGGGCCGTCAATGGGCGAACTTGGGGGCCTCCCAGCCCGTCGTGGGCGCCCTGAGGAGCGGAAAGGCAAGCATTCGAAATGCTTCTGTGTGGACGCTATATGTAATTGAATATCAGATAGCATGGTATAATATGTTGTGCCATCATATATCAGAATATATTTATGCGATAGTAAGAACATGATATGAGAGACTATACATAATCTAACACATCTAAGCTAACATAATAGAAGTCCAATGCCTACACTATGTGCTATGACATGGTACATGATATAGCACTCTGCCATACGATGCTACGCTACAACTCATTATAACTGAGTACTACAATTCTACCACATCCCACAACATCATATTGGCATGCGATTGTACTATATGATCATCAAATGCATCATACAATCACATACTATGGTGTAGTACGACATGATGTAATTTGGTACGATGTAAAGCA